CAGCAGCAACAGCAGACTGAATCAAACCCTCCTGATGATGCTGATCTTTTTGAGCGATTTAGCGATGTTGTACCACCAGCCTCAAGTACTGTACCCTCTAGAAAGGCAGACCTATTGCTCAACCTTAGCCTAGAAGAGTCTAGAGAAGGTGATTTGGAGGGAAAGGAGAACCCCGCACTGCCTGCACTAACACCGGAAATGGACTTGCTTGCCAACAACTTTGGCAACTCCAAACTGACCACTGATGACCTGCTTGGCTTGGGCGATACTCCTGCTCCAGCATCTTCAGCCGACTCGAACCTGCTTTCACCGAACTTTGACGACAATTTGTTTGAAAGTCCAACTGAGCCAATGGCACCAACGCCGGTGCAGGCGGCATCAAAGTCGAACAACTTGCTACGCAATACCTCAACTCCAAACCTCAACTCCAACTTTGATCCATTTGGTGATTTAGGTTCCTTTTTAAACTTGCCCAATGCCGAGGCTAAGCAAGGGAGCACTACCTCTATTCCTCGCGTCTCCTCCTATAGTACCTTTTCGAGTGATAACAAAAGCGGAAGCAAAACTTCTACTGCTAATATCAACAGGAGTCAACCAGGTCAGTCAAACAAGCCAAACTACAGTAGATCCAACTTTGGTGACGCCCCTTCAGCGACGGGCGTAAAGGCCCCCAGAGTGGTCGGCAATGAGTTTGAGGACTTGCTGAGTGGATTCAAGAAGACACCTACTGACGCTAATCAAAACAAAAGCATTGCACAGATGCGCAAAGATGAACTGGTACGTCTCAGTTCTACTTTTTGTGTTTGACAGGGGTTTTCACTTTAACTTTGCTATTGTAGCTCAGCTCTGGCTCACTAGACCCGACGCAGCTGAAGATCATGGAGTGGACGGAGAACAAGGAGCGCAACATTCGAGCACTGCTCTGTTCAATGAACACCATCGTCTGGGAGGGCTGCAATTGGACGGCCATTGGAATGCATCAACTGCTGACGCCGAATGATGTCAAGAAGATGTACCGCAAAGCCTGTTTGGCAGTGCATCCTGACAAGGTAAGCAAGTTTTCAATTTTCACTGTGATTGTCTAATCGCGCATTTTTTCCTCCACTCTAGCTTGTCGGCAGTCCACACGAGGAGTTGGCTNGTTTGGCAGTGCATCCTGACAAGGTAAGCAAGTTTTCAATTTTCACTGTGATTGTCTAATCGCGCATTTTTTCCTCCACTCTAGCTTGTCGGCAGTCCACACGAGGAGTTGGCTAAATACATTTTTATGGAGCTGAATGACGCCTGGTCAGAGTTTGAGAAGACTTCCTAGCTTGGGCGATGAGTTGTAGTTATTTGACTACTTTTTGAAGGATTGTTGTGTGTTATATAACGTATTCCATTGTTTGAAGTCAATTTCTGTCTTTTATTTTTTCACTACACACTACTGTTGTTTTCTCTGACCTACCAAATCTTGTTTGCGCGCCAAACTGATAATCGCTACATTAAATCAATTGCATTGGCACCAAAACAAAAATTCCAACACTACTATTTGATACCATTTGTATATTTGGCTTTATTTCAGTGCATNTTTGCGCGCCAAACTGATAATCGCTACATTAAATCAATTGCATTGGCACCAAAACAAAAATTCCAACACTACTATTTGATACCATTTGTATATTTGACTTTATTTCAGTGCATCTCCTCCGGAGAATCTATATACGACAATTGAATTGTGATAAAAATTGGTTGTTATAAATTGGAGTAATAAATAGGGTAGTAAAATTGTCAAAAATTGCCTATAAAAAGGTGGTGGTGGTTCAGCGGATTGAGTGGTCAGATTATTTGAACTTTTTTAAAGGTGGTAGATTTGAAGAGATTAGAAGATTGAGTTGCAATAAATCGAAGTCGGTAGACGTGCAAATAAATTAGTTGTTGGTGATTACTGAGAGTCAGTTCAGTCAGAAGTGGCGGTAGTCGTGGAGGTGGTACTCTGGGGAAGTAAGTGTCAGAGAATGACCTCCAAGTACTCGGAAAGCAACTTCTGAGGCTGAGCAAAGTGCTTCGCTTTGTTCTTCACAAGCGACAAGCGAACTCCATCTGAGTCAACGCCTAAATTAGCAATGGAAAAGACAGGTTTTAGAGTTGGCATAAAATACTGCTAATTAGCCCAAAGGCAGTTGAGCTGTTGGTGTTGTGCCACTACTTACTCTGACAGTTGAGGTTCAGGTACTGACAACAGGCGTGCAGTAAAAATCGCTTAAATGAGCATTGAAAGCGGGTTTCGTACTGCGCACTAGGATTGTCATTGAAGAACTCCACAATCTGCCCTTCAATGGACGACAGCAGTCCCTAAAAACAAACCACTTAGACACAGTTGACGTTGAAAACGGGGGACGGGGGACCTACCAGTGGGACGTGCTTCTTCACCAGCTGCTGGCGAATGTTGGCGTCGATGCGGGAGAAACACCGACGGGAGTCTCTCTCCTCATACTCACTGGGACGCTTCGAAGAGGGAGGATGCTCCGAGCGGGAGCAGCAGTGCTCCAGCGCAATGTCCTGCTCGCCAATCAGATCTCGCTGCTCCTCCTCGGTGCAGTTGATGAACTCATTCAGCTCCTGAATGTTCAGGTCCAGCTTCTGCAGGAGCATCGCAAAGGGCGACGGCGACGGCTGGATGAAGTCGTTGATGGAAACGGCCTCCAGCTCTGCCTCGTCAACGAGGCTGCCAAGCTCGGTCATCGCCAAATTGGCTACATCAAGATCATGGCCCAAAGAGAGTTAGGAGACCAAAGTCCTTTCAATCCTTGTACATTTACCATTGGCGTAACGCCTAAACTTTTTGTGGCTTTTGCCCTTTGCGCCCAGTGCCTTGAACACGGGTTCTGGCATCGTCACCGTCTTCTTGGGTTGGCGTTGGTTTCGCCTCGTTCGCGGAGGCTGAACGATGTTGACGGCATTTGGCGCCGCCGCCTCCTCTCTATTAGTAATTTGTGTGATTAGTTAACACCGATTAAAAATACGATCAAATGACGCAAAAAGAGGATGAGATGTTTAGCCCACTAGTGACATTGAGTAGAGGTAGTCAAGGTCTGAGAGCGTCAGGGCAGAGAAAGTGTACCACGTACCCGTCGCTGGAAAGATAGATCCAGTCCGCCTCATCCAGGGCGGATCGGTTCAGCTGGTTTGTGTTTCGAATGACTCCCATGGTGATGCTGCTGGTTTGCTGGGGTTAACTGATTTGTGCTGCTAATTGGCTAGAATTAAATTAAAGAATTGGCGGGTGAGTGCTGCTGTTGCTGCTGCTGTTTCTAGTGTTGCTGATGCTACTGCTGTGAACGGCTAGTGACGTTGAACTGACTGATGGCAGTAGTATTTATTGGTAACTCTGTGCGACTCCGACAACGTACAGGGGACGACTTTTGCTTAGGAGGATACTGCGCCTGGCGACAGCCACTACTGCTGCTGCTGTTGATTTGCTGCAAGCAATCCTGCAGCTGTCGTCAGGTTTACTCGTTGTTTTGGATCAAGTCACACTCACACACAAAGAGACTGGTCGTCGCTTCGCCCGTAGCTGCCAGCAATCTCTGCGACAGAGTATCCTCAACTTAGCATCTGAATCCACAGCAGGCGGCAGCACTGTCTTTTAATTCGAACAGCCAACAAATGCGGCGATTGTTTGGCTTTGCGGTTCCACTATCTCCTGGCGCAGTGACACATCCTCTCGTATCTCCTACCAAAGTGATTGCCGATCACGCGATCCGATGGCAATGTACGCCACCAGTCACCGTGGCGTCATTGGCAGCTTCAAGATCTCACACCATACCCACTTTGAGCGCAACTCATCAACAAACAACAAAAGTAAAATGACCTCACTTCGGCTCCTTTTTCTGGCGGTCTTCACCCTTCAGGGGCTGTTTTCTTCCGCCTTTGCTGGGCAGGCGTCGCCTACACCTGTTTTAATGTACCATGGAATGGGAGACACTTCAGGCGGCAGTATCAGTCAAATTAAAACCTTTCTGGAGGAAGAAGTTCCGGGGATTTACGTTACCAGTATCAGAATGGGTAACAACACCGAAGAGGATTTCCTCAGCAGCTACTTTATGAACCTCAACGAGCAGGTGAGGAACAAAAAGAGTTTTTGGTAAGAAACAAATATAATGTAGGCTTGCTTTCTAGGTGTCTATTGCCTGCCGAACCATTGCCAGTGATCCAAAGCTTAAGAACGGATACAATGCTCTTGGTTTCTCTCAAGGAGGACAGATCGTTCGAGCGATTGCCCAACGATGCCCTACTCCTCCCATGCTTAATCTCATCTCTATTGGAGGACAGCACCAGGGCGTTTATGGACTGCCCAGATGCTTTGGTGACGATAGTTCAATCTGTGATTTGGTTCGGAGGATGCTGAATCATGGAGCGTACATTTCATATGTTCAGGCCAACTTGGTCCAGGCTGAGGTTAATCGATTTTTTCTACTTCCGGTAAAGTTATTAATTCTGATATTTACTTTTTTGTTTAGTACTGGCATGATCCAATACAGTTAGACTTGTATCGTGAAAAGAGCGTCTTTTTAGCTGACATCAACAACGATAGAAAGACTCGAAATGAGACGTACAAGGCCAATCTTCTCAAGCTCAGCAATATGGTTCTGGTCAAGTTTCTCAACGAAACGATCGTCGAGCCAAAAGAGAGTGAATGGTTCGAATTCTACGCTGATGGGCAGACAGATAAGATTGTGAGTCTGAAAGATTCCCCGCTCTACAAGGAGGATTGGATTGGCCTAAAGCAGCTCGATGAGGCGGGCAAGCTGAAGCGAATTGCCGTAGAAGGAGATCACTTGCAGTTCACTCTGTCCTGGTTCAAAGAAAACATTGTCAATGTATATCTTAAATAGTTTATTTCTCATCGATATTTACATATGTGCAGTTTTAATAAATAACAAAACATGTTGGGCATGTCGGTATCACTAAATAAAATCATTTGCTCGAAATAGATTTCAGGTCTTTCTCTGCTATCTCCTTCTTGTGATTCTGTACGAACTTGGCCACAGTGTAGGACACAGCAGAGCCGCCCAAAGCGGAGATTATGCCAGCGGATAATTTCAATCCGATGATTGCGCCGACTGGGCCAAGAACAACTCCGCCAATTGCGGCACAGGTAATAGGGGCAACGGTGGCATATGTGCTTGCCTTGACTAGTGACTTTGTCCCCTCTTCAATATCGGCAGCTGTTTGAGTTACATTATTTTCTATATTGTCGACAGTCTCTTGCTGTTCGTGAACTAGAGTGGCAAGGTTGACGGCAATGGTGTTTAAATCTTCAATATTTTCATTGAGCGCTTGAACTTTGCGCAACCTTTCCCTAGAGTCGACGAGCTGAGAGGCATCTTTGTGAAGCTGTACTCCTAAATCAAAATTAGGCGAAGTTTCAGTAGTCATTGAGGTTGACTTTTCGTCGATGCGAGAATTGATGTCAGGAACTGGTTTGGATTGAGCCCTTTCCTCCAGCCTGTTGAAAGCTCTTATCCTGCTGTTCACTTCGCGTTCATGCTCTGTGACGATCCTTTCGAGTTTTCGATCTACGTCAGCACTTTTTAATGAGCTGTAACAATTTTGAAGCTCCTTAACGCTCAGTTCAAGCCTTTGAATCAACAACTTTCCGTTCATGTACTCGCGCTTGAGCTCATTAACCTGGTTCCTTGCTTTGAACTGTAATATACAAAATATTAGAAAAAACAAAGGTTAGAAGAAGCAGAACTGTGTACCTTTGCAATGTTTTGTGTACAGTGGTCGAGTTTCTTCAGGTTGAAGCGAACGCCGTCGTTGATGATCTTCTCCAGGTTCGCCTGGAGCATTCCTTTGTAGCGCAGCTGTCGCGTGCTACTCGACATGGTCGATTTGTTCAAGTGACTGGAGCATAACGCAGAGGTGGAAAACTCGGAAAATATAAGTAGACGATCGGTGAGCAAAGTTGTTGGCCAGACATGAGCCACTCAGGAGCAAATCATCTGATAAAGAAGACAATGTTTACTGTACGGCAGACACATGATCGCGCAAGTGATTAGTGCGCACTCTTCACTGCGCTCGCAGCTTCTCCCGGGGGAGCAGCACAGCGAAGGGCACAAGTTGGACAGTGCCACTGCAGGGAAAATGTCACATTCTGAGTCACTGCTGTCAGCCTGGTTGGGTCGATACAGTGTGCCTTTTGCTGCTCGCTCAAGTTTTACTTTGCAAACTTGAGAAGTGTAAATCTGATTCTACATTTTTGACTAAATTGTGCGCGATTTTTAACCAGTATACTGATCAGCTGCGGAAATGAAGTTCGAAATGGAGATGGGCGTGGATGATGGCCTAGGCGAGGGCGAAAATGCTGCCGATGGAAGTGCGGGCGACACGCAGGAGGTGAAATCTATAGAAATCAACGTGCAGGTCATCAAAACATTCTTCACGACCACTATTTCCCTCTACGAACGTCTGGTTAAAAAGTCCTGCAAGAGCTGCAACCTGATGGAAACCGATGAGTTCATCGCCCTGCACACCACGCTCTGCGAGTTCACCAATCTCTTGAAAATTTTCAACGTCTCATTTGACCGAACGCTATTCAACAACGTAATCACCATCAAAGACGAGGAAAGAACCAAGTATGATATTGTGCAAGTATGTGAAAGTGTGGAAGGGAACACTTCCACTAGTGCCACTGGTAGCACCAAATCATTTCCCTGTTTGGTCTCCTCATGTCATCTTAAGTACTGTTCGGAAGAAGCATCCCGTATTCACTTTCTGAAAAATCATTGCAAAAAAGCTGAAGCATTTGAAGCTGTACCTCACGACACATGTACTGATCAACTGGGAACACTTGATTTTTCTCAAATCAAACGTGATTCTGAGGGCCGATACGTTTGTGAAACTGAGGATTGCAACTACCTGTCAGCAGATCGCAGTAATTTCAAAGTACACTATATGCGACACAATGGAAACAAAAAGTACATCTGCTTTGTTTGTTCAAAAAGCTTCTTCACCCGAGATCCGCTGATGATTCATTTTCTGAGACTTCACATGAAGGAAATCGACTGGAGTCTGGCAGCAAAGGATATTCGCGAGCTTAGAAAAAGCGTCAGACGACTGACATGTCCTTCCTATTACGGACTAGCTTCTAATGATGACATTAACGACTCTGACACTGATCTAATCGGACCGCTGAACGAAGAGAATGTTGTTCTTGACGCCTTCATATCACAGGCCATCAGTGAATACCCTGAAGTAGAAAGAACAGAGGAAAAAGAAGAGCTGCAGTCTGACCAGGAAACAATCGATGAGAACGGTGCTTCTAATGCAAATGAAGAAGGTGAACCGGTGAACTCCTTCAATGTTTGTCTCAACCTTAAGGATAATGACATTTTTGCCGATTCGGTTACCTTTAAAGCTGAAGGCGTCTCTTCCGGTTTGAACGACATTATTACTAAAAGTCAGGAGCCAAACAGTGGTATCAAAGCTACAATGTCCCTCTCCGCGACCAAAGACGTAATGGTGAACAAGGAGATTAAGCAAAGAGCTAAAAAGTACAAGTGTCCTCATAAGAACTGCCATCAGGACTTTTTCACAAAGAAAAATCTCATCATTCACATGAAGGCTTCGCACGACCCGACCAATCCACTACCGTGCCAGGAGCCCGGATGCACCTGTCGATTCAAATCACAAGCCCTCTTGGCGCAGCACCAGAAACGGCATCGTGTGTCGTACAACTGCAAAGTGTGCTCGTACAAAACTCACCTGGCAGCGCTGATGACCCGACACAATCGCCAGCACGCTGGCACTCATCTCTTTCATGAATGCGCAGATTGCCATGAGAAATTTGAGTTTCTAGGTGCCTTGAGTTCGCATCGTCGGAAGATGCACAATGAAAAGGAACCGCTGCTGTGTGACTGGACTGACTGCGGCAAGAGATTCAAAACGATGATCGGCTTGAACAAGCACCGGCGAGAGTTTCACCTGAACATGAAGGCGGAGATCATGTGTGAGTGGCCCGACTGCAAGTCGGTGTTCTCCAACCGCACTGCAATGAACCATCACATGCGTATTCACACCAACGAGCGACCGTACCAGTGCGCCTGGCAGGACTGTGGAAAGTGTTTTCGCCTGAAGGAGACAATGAAGCGACACGTCAAACTGCACCAGGGCTTTAAGCCCTATCCCTGTCCCTTTGACAAGTGCGATCGAGCTTTTGTTACCAAGCGAAACATGAGAATGCACATTGAAAAGATTCACCTCAAACCGTCTTCTCGCGTTCGGCACACAGTTGTGTCTATGACGCAAAATGAGGAGGAGGACATGGAAGAGATTGAAGAAATGGAGGTTCCCGATTTACTTAAAAAGGAACTCTAGTGTCTTTAGTCTAGTTTACAGTTACAGTTTTGCATATATTTTTCCAGCTGTAATAAAAGATTCAAACCGAGTGGCTTCACAGCTTTACCGCCGTCTAATGTAGAAACTTTTCGCTGACACGTTAAAAGATGTACTGATTGTAAAAGTTTTTGTCCTTTTCTTTCATATCTTCTGCCCCAAAGTTGACCTGGCGGCTCTTATTATCAGCAACGGTGGTAGTTTAGCGTCATTGATTTCACCCATAGTCTTGCACAATGGAGATATTTTTGGGTAGCTGTAGAGAAAGAAAGCAAAGGGAGACAATGATAAGATGTTGCTGATGTACGACAACAGCAGCAACAACAACAGCCGTACAAGACAAAAAGGAAATTGACATTAATTGAGAGAGTAAGTGCTTGCAAAGTGTTTCTTTTTGAAAAACATTCATCACAAAAAATGGCCACCAGAAAGTTGACCATCTTCATTCACGCTTTTGACGGCAGTGGCCACTTGAACGCCTGCATTGGCCTGGCTCAAGCGCTAACCCGACGAGGTCACTCGGTGGTCTTTCTCCTGAACGCCGCCTCCAAAGGTAAAACAACAACAAAAAAGTAAAACCTGAGTTTTAAAACTCAAAGAAAAACCCCGTTTATTTCAGGCCATTTTGCCAAGTACAACTTTGAAGAGATACTGCTCAAACCAAGTTCAGAATCTCAAGGACCACCTTCTTTTGACGAGGAAGGCAGACAGGAGCTCATCAGCCCAGTGAAAGCTTTTGCCCGAATGATCCTTAACTCGGGCATTTTGAACGGAAAAAGTCCACTGGAGAAAATAAAAGGCGAAGTAGAGGTTGAAGATTTCTCATTTGCGGAGAACATCTACCTTAGTTCGGTGGACTTTAATCTGCAGATTAAGGCGGCGATTGAAACACAGAAACCAGATTTAATCATCCTCGACCACTTTTACGTTCCACCGGCGATTCAAGAGGCAAACATTCCCTGGCTTCTGCAGTTCAGTAGCAATCCGCTGGCAATACTAAACTCAACCGATCTTCCGCCCTGTACCTCTGGCTATCCGACCACCAAAGAAGGACCCGAAGATGAAAAGCTTTGGGCAGAGTTTAGGCGCTACCAGGATCTCAGTAGAGACGCCTTTATCAAATACCAACGGAAGCTGTATGACCATTTTGGATATCAAGTAAATGAGGCGGAGGATATGCCGCTTCCAGGAGGGTTTTTCCCTCAGTGCAAGTACGGCTACATTTACGGTTATCCGGGTAAGTTTCATTGCCGATATATTATAAGCTAAAACGTTTTAAACTTTTTAAACCTGGCACAGCTGAACTCGACTACGACGACCTAATGGACATTTCCGAGCACTTTATCCGCATGGACACTTTTTGTCGAGACGAGGATTCTTTGTCTACGACCTTTAAGTTGCCTGAAGGTTTTGCCAATGAAAGTAACAAGCTGATCTATTTCAGCCTAGGAAGTATGGGCAGTGCTGACGTGGAGCTGGTGAAGCGAGTCACCTCAATCCTCTCTTCGAAAACGCCCTACAAGACGATCGTCTCTAAGGGACCACTGGCTGATGAGTATGAATTGCCAGAAAATTGCTGGGGTGAAGAGTATCTTCCTCAGACTCAAATTCTACCTCTCGTTGATCTGGTGATCACTCACGGTGGAAAGTAAGTAGAATTAAAAGGTGCAAATTGCTGATTGTTGACTATTTTTTACACTTTTTAGCAATACCGTCACAGAGACCTTCAGTTTTGGCAAACCAATGATTATCATGCCTCTCTTTGGGGACCAGTAAGCGAAATGTTATGTTTTACACTGAAAATCTAACTTCTTTTTTCTGATTCCCAAACGCGCAGATACGACAACGCTCAACGACTGACAGAAAAAGGTTTTGGACGTCGCCTGGAAACGTACAAGTTCAAGGATCAGGAGTTGGTGGACGCAGTGGAGGCACTGATCAATGACCGACAGCTCAAGGAAAAGTTAGAAGCAGCTGCCAAACGGATTGCCACTGCCGGCAGCAAAGAGAAGGCCTGCATAAAAATTGAAGCTGTTGTAGAACAATTTAGAACATCGGTATAGTTTTTTACTACTTTTACTGTAAAAACTCTGTGAGCTCAAAATTAAACTTGCAACATTTTGGCTTCAATCAACTCTACCAACTGCTGGTGCTTGCCAGCTGAAAGAATCCTCTTTGATGCTGCCTCCAATCGGTTTTTCAGTTGATCATCAGCGAGCAGGTCATTGATGGCAGTGATCATCTGCTCTCGTCGAAAACTGTACGGTTCCAGGCGACGGCCAAAACCGGTTTCCTCAAGTCGCTGGGCACTGGTGATAAAAAGAGATTAACTCCCAAGCTCTTAATCTTTGCAAAAAACTTACTTGTCAAACTGATCGGCAAAAAGCGGAAGCACAATCATTGGTTTGCCCTGGGCAAAAGTCTCAGTGACGCTGTTGCTGTTAAAATTTAAAAAAGAGGCAAATTACTAAAAAGGTTCTCAGAACACTACTTTAACTCTCACTTACTTTCCACCGTGCGTGATCACCAGATCGACCAGCGGCAAGAGGGTCGTCTGCGGAAGGTACCTGCCGCCCCAGCAATTGGGCGGGAGATCATATTCAGCGTGACGAGGTCCCTTTGAGACGATGTACTTGTGGGTGGTCTCAGAGACGGCATTCAAAATAGATTTCATCAACGCCAGATCAATGCTGCCCATGCTGCCCATGCTCAAATAGACCCACTTTCCAGTCCATCGCCCTTCTAGATTATTAGTAAAAAAGTGTTTTCCAGTTATCTCTTTCAGAAAGTTAGATGCAAGTTGAACTTCTTTTTTCCCCATGTGAAGTCGAGCATTGAAAACTTCCAGGTTGAACCAGTGGCTTCCTTTAGCTCTAATCTCTGGATAGTTGNCAGTTATCTCTTTCAGAAAGTTAGATGCAAGTTGAACTTCTTTTTTCCCCGTGTGAAGTCGAGCATTGAAAACCTCCAGGTTGAACCAGTGGCTTCCTTTAGCTCTAATCTCTGGATAGTTGAGCTCCTCAGGATAGCCGTACACAACGAGCAGCGCATCCTCATTTGGAAAGAGCTGGTCTTGATGGTAACGAGGATAGCCAAGCACCTTTTCAAGGTGGTCATTAAAAATAGAGTTAAAACGGAAACGATGTTGCAGAGCTCGCATTCGTCGCCATTTAAGGTCATTTCGAGAGCCAGCAAAAGGCAGACCGCTGCAGCCTGGTGGAGTGGAATTTGGGCACTCTTTTATCTCCGTTTGATCCTTTTCACAGCCGACGTACAACTGTGGAGAAATGGACAGATGGTGGATCCAGGGAACTCCAGAGTGGAGAATCGCCGGCAAGAGGTACCCAGTGTCAGTGATCAGCAGATCCGGCTTCAGACTGTCGATGGCAGTTTGGCTGTGTGCGTTTAGCTGCCCCATCAAACTGAGCGCTTCTGGCGACTCGACAAACAAGCGCAACATGGGCGGCCACTTCTCTTCGGGACTGCTCGGGCCCATGATCGACTGATTCAGTAGACCTAGTGCCCAATCTTCGCCAGGAGTGCCGTCCTCTTTACTAAAGTTGTCCACTTTCAGGCTGTAGATGATCTCTTCAAAATCATTTGGAAGATGGCCCTTATAAGCAGACTCGAGAAGAAAGACCACTCTATGACCTCGTTGCAAAAAAGGCCGTGTTGTGCCAGCTAAAGCGTTTACATGACCGACGGCGTTGATGGGAATGCAGAGAATGGTGAGTGTTTGTTTTTGAGACATTTTCTTCTACTTGAAAATTTTTAGTCACACAAAGTAAAAGAATTTATTATTTTATCAAACCGATGTGGCTATTTAAATAGTAAAAATGTCGTTTGTCTTATCTTTCTATGCAAAGAGAATGAGGGAATTTGCTTAAATGTTTCTTCAGATAAGTTTTCAAACTTGATTAGCCTCTGTACAGCTGTATCATTATCATGTCAGTTAGCAGTGTATTTAAATAGAAACTCATGTGATCCTCTTTATCCTCACCCATTTCAAATCATGCAAAGCGAATAAAAAGAGGGTAAGGGATATCATGATGACTGATTGATCAATCAAGTGTGTAAACTACAAAAGCTATTGTTAATGTAATTATTAATCAACCAGATGAAATTAATACTGTTATGTCACAAATCGCATTCACACAATGTAAGTGCAATTTTTTCAATCTTCAGGATGAGTGCTTGAAACGACAAAATTTAAACGCAGTTTTCAATTATGTTTGAGGTTGCACAGCAACTGAACATTTCATCTGTCAAACGCAGTACTGTCAAGGGCAATTTTTTTGCTCAAGAAATTGATAACTGGGAACATTTAGTGATAAAGCTTCATGTAATGTCATTTCGCAATATTAAACTATGTTTGCACTTTTTTATAAATGCAAAATAAAAATTTTTATTTATTATCTTTCTTAGACCAGTTATTACCATACTTCGCATTTTTCAGTAGCAAAACCATTCTGATACTTCAAGTAATGGTTTGTTGGCTGAAATAGATGATTGCTTTTATCTCTAGGGCAGTTAAAGGCCCTTGAGAATGCCGCACCACCTTCTAAATTGATCACTGGCAAATTGACTCTTGCAGAGTCGAGACTGTGGACTCGGTCGACTAACATCCTTTCAGAATATGTTCCTGCTGCACAAAAAGTCTGTGCGTACGCAAGAAAAAACAACTGCTCAGGACTGTAAAAAGTGTACAGGTTTTGGGTAGAGGGTTCGAGGGTTGGAGAGTCAAAAGATGGAAAACGTCCTTTTCTCTTTCTTAGTTGATTACTTTTTGACCAATTTTGCTGTTTCCACTGGAGGAAAGCACCATAAGCCACTTTGAGGGCGCCATTGTCTGCGGTGTCTTCGATCAGCGTTTGACTGCTCAGGAACTACAAAGAGAGAAGCTGATTTAAAAAAGGAACTAATTTTATCACTAAAGCCTTTTTTACCGTTTTGTAGACTTGCCGAAATGATCCATAGGAAGATCGTTCTTTTCCGTCCCTCTTTTCATCTTCTGCTTTAAATCCTTCAAAAACTACCTTTTCATTTTGGTACTGTCTGAGCAGGCATTGTGACCTGGTCATCAAATTCTCTCTCGATTGCGGCGTCCACCAGTTTGAAAAGAATCCCTCTCGGTCATAGTTGCTGCCCAGTTGCTCAAAACCGTGAAGCAGCTCGTGGGCAATGACGGGCAGCAAAGAGCCTGTGTTCAACAAATCAGCAGCCGTTTGATGATGAAAGTGCCTAAAGGTTCCCTCCTCTTCCTCTTTTTCTTCATCTAAATAAGTAAATATGGGCGGTTGTAAATAGGCTATGGGAATGGCTGAAAGTTGTGAGGAAGAAAAAACACCGTTATTTATTCAAATTACTTTGTTTAGGTTTGCTTACTAATAGAATTTTTTGGTGTTGTGTGGTAAGCGGTCACTTTGATGGGCGTTTCTGACCAACTGAATACAAATGCAACAAATAGTAAAAAACTAAAATTTTCTAATAAATGTTTTAAACTTACCCATCAAAATCCACACTAGGCGGAGGTGATGAGGCATCTGCAGCCATCCGCCCTGCGTCATAGAGCAGTAGGTGTCTCCACGCTCGGTCAAAGGAAACCTTCTGCACGGCTAGGCTGAGCAGATCTGTTTGCTGAAGTTCTCTCACTTGACTTCTTTCCAGCTGTTCTTCATACTGCTTCAATAGCCAATCAGGATAAGCAATGAAAGCCCGGGTAGAGTGCAGCTTATCAAGCGCCGCCGCTCGGGTCTGCTCATCAAGCCAGTCGGCAGAACGAATCACCGCATCAAAGTGGTCTTTGGCAATAGCCACCATACGGCTGACTTTCTGTTTGATTCTTTTAAATTTGTCTAAACTTTGTTGATTGTTTTTTAAGAGGTACCAATGCGACATTGTCCAAGGAAAAACTTTCTTGGTTCGCTGGACGCAGTGCTTCCAAAGAGGAGTGTTGCCACTTTGAGCAATAGTATTCAAGAGAGGTCCACCAATGTAGTTTCGCCATTTGGAAATGGCATGCAGAGCTAGGTAGTTGAAAATGACGTGCCGCGGTGTCGCCTCCATCAACGGTATCAGACGGCGAAAGTAGGCGAGGTCGTAGACAAGAATGAGGTCCTCTTCTGGTTGATAATAAGAAAATGACTGCGTAAAAAAGCTTTCGTACTTTTCTTTAGAAAACCTGCTTGTAAAGTTGTTGTTGCTAGAGTTTGTGGAAGTCATCCAGGCGGTTATCTGCTCTAACTGGGAGTGATCAAGCAGGGCAGCCAGCCGGGCCAATTTAAGCGCGTTTGGGTCGTTTTTAGAAATTCGCTTTCCTGAAACGGCCAGTTGACGAGCCAGCTGAAGCACTTCTAGTGTTGTGTGGACTTTGTGAAAGTCACTTCGCGGAGAATAAAACTTCATTCTACTGCCGTTGATACCCACTTTCGGAACGTTGACCAGAGACCAAAGCTGATCCATCGACTGGCGTAGGAGATCGATGAAGGTGTACGTCCAGTGGTGGTAATGATCACTACTTTTTGTCCAAGCCTCAAATTGAGCCATGGTCATCCAGCCAGTTTCTAAAACAGACCTTTCTACTTCCCCGATCTCTTCAGTGATCTCTGGAGTTTTTATAATCTGCAGGTGATACTGCAACTGCATCACCTCCAACGCACGAAGAGTGACCATAAAAGAATATGGCTGCAGGTGGTTTCGGTGGTTCACTCCACCAGCGTCATTTATGGGGTTTTCCCAAAAAGTCATCAACTGGATCATTTCCTCTGTGCTAAAATTGACTAAGGTTTCTGAAAGAAGAGGCGGCGATAGTGCTATTTTGTTTCGATGTTCAAGGTGAACACTACTGGAGTAGGGAGTGAAGGCGATCAGCGGGCTGACGTCCAGGGTTAGGTGGAAGGTGCTTAGAAGACGGTCCCAGCTAGGGAGGTGATCTGACTGAGGGTGTGAATAGAGAACCGGCCACGGGTGGCCGTTTGATGCCTGATGTAGAAGGTTTGACATTGGCCAGTGGCCAAACGAGTGCAGTTTTTCTAGAAGATTGGAGAATAAAAAGTAAATAATT